GAAGCCGTTTATTGTCTTGTCTGACTCCAATATATATCATAATTTTCGCTTAGTCACTGCGCACACACTCATGATTGGTTACAACTTGTTACACACACTATTGCAATTGGCTATATACAAAATATCACGCGCTGTCCACGCGCCCCTCACACAGTCAGGATTGCTGCTTGCAGGTGTTCCTGTTTTCCTCGCTTCTTTGTTTCAGAACTTCAAATACTGAACATCAGGTGTCTGTATTGCATATGTGAATGAAAACACTTTTGCTTTATTTGTTTATAATATTGTTCAATTGCTAGCACATCTTTTACAGTAACAAAGGAAAATACTGTCTTTGGCTATCTAAAAATACAGACTAGAAACAGGACAGTGGAAGGCAATTCAGTACTTAGGTCAGTACTGTGAGCAAAGATGAAAATATCTTGTCATTTCTGTTGTATTTCTTTTCTGAATATATTTCCATCTAGTGATGTGTGTGTAATGTAGCTGCTGCATTTATTAGTCTTCTGAAGACGTTTACAAATCGGAAAGGTGCAGACTAGCTCAGGAAGAGAGTCACAGCGGAAATTCTTACGAGATGAGCACGGAGGTGATGTGCTGAGACACAGCTGTATATAGTTATATGGTACTTTATGGATCAAGGAGGCTGTTCCTTGCAGCATTTCTTGACCGGTAATTTGTTGCCCATCTCTTCAAGAGATGGTTGAGATGCTAGCTCTTACTTGAAAGTAAGGATATTGACACCAATGAAGTAGCAACTCGATTGCAGAAACGTAAGTCCAGGTCTTGGTGGCTAATTGCACATTTAAATGTGCACTTGCCAGATATGGACTGATGTACCTAAAGTTTCCAGGATTGTTCTGTAAATCAGTGCATGTATTGAGTTGGAAAATGTGTCTCTTGGAACATAAATCTGCTAGAAGTAAGCATCACTCAGTTTTTCAGTAGCTTCTGTGCTAGATTTATTAACTAAAACATGTCTTTCTAACTGTCAGTCTTGTGAATCCAACTTTGCAAAGTGAAATGTAAGATTCAAGGAGGAGGGAAGAAAAATATGTTATACTTCCCTCCCCCCACCTTTTTGCAGAGTAAAACTCATGTTTTCATATTTGCCTAGATGTGTAAACTTACTAGGTGGTACTAGCAAAGTTTGTGATGCAAGGGAAGATCTTGTTTAGTGTTTCGGTTTAGTGCACCAACATGGAAGAATAAGTTGGTTGGTTTGGAAGGTGCAGTTTTAGGGCAGTGTCATTTACATAATCATTTCTTAAGTTCAAGCAAAGTTGATGGGTATTTGTGTTGCAGTATTGTATTTGATATGTCTGGCAAGCCCCCAAATCCTTCTCCTGCAAGCTCTATGGCACTAAAAGAATTGAAATACAAGAAATTTCACATTAAACAAATGAAACATTTGATCAGTTTTAATAAATATGTTAAGACTGTGCACCTGAAAGTCTGGAAGATCCAGTGTGGTGGGGGTATTTTGTTTGCCTTTTTTGTTTTTACAGATTGGGGGTTGAGAGATGCTGCAATGTGTTTTGAAAGAGCAAACTGCTGCATAACTGGCATTTGAAGGCATTTGAAATGTGAGAAATGCCCTGGTTAGCGTGTCAGCAGATTGAGCTTCACAGAGATAATATTGCATCAGCAGTGTTGTACAGTGATTTATATACATACATGTGTTCAAACTGTCTTTAAGTAAACCATGAAGCAAATCATCTTTAAGCAAAAGATATTCAGTAAAGATGTAATATATTTTCTTTCTAAGATTTATTTGCAGTGATTTGGAGTAGAGCTTTACCCCAGAGGATGAAGGCTGTAAAATTCGTCACTGTTGCATGGTAGGGGTATGATAGGTTTGAGGGAGCTTTACATCTCATGTAGAACATCTGAAGGAGGAGGGAGGAACAGTAACATTTTCCCTAAATCATGTTCTAGGGTGTAAAGGACAGCCTAGAGGGGAACTATGTCTCAGATACAAGGCTGGCTGGAGAAGCTGTTTTATGAAATTTAAATCATTCTTGGCAGGATGTCATCTTGGTGAAAGTTATGGGGAAGTATCTCTATGTTAATATAAAGTATTATTTTGTTTAACATATCTAGAGCTACAGATCTCCCAATTCCCACATTAATAGTACATACATGTTTGTGGTAGTATACTTATTCTGATTATTATTTTAAAACCTTTATCTTTCAGTCTAAAAATTTTGGAACTCCTTTAAGAGTTGGAGGGGGGCGGGCGGCACAAGCCTGGTTGTTCTTTCTTTCTTAAGTAAGTCCATCAGAGATTTAGCTCTTTTTGTCAAAAGTCAATTTTGTTTTTTTTCCTTTTTCAGAGAATCTACAAATTTTTTGTGCATTTGAAAAGTTAACTTATTTTAGTGTCTACATATTACACTGATTTAACTATGGGATGTACTAGGCCAAGGCTTTCTTGCTTCTTTGGGTGGAAGATAACTTATGGGGTCAGGACAGATATTGTTCTGTTGATTTTGTTCTTTGGAGGGGACCATGTTACTTTTAGGTATCGCTTCAGATTTCCTTAGGCATTTCTTTGGCTAATGCTGATTTTTCTTTCTCAGCAGAAATGATAAAACACTTGAGATATTCTTTTCCTTTAGTCATAGCAAGTTTGATTAACTTAGCACTGGGAAAACCTTTTGAACAGTATATTTTTGTATTTTCCTGCTCTCTTCTGATGCAATTTTTAGGCTGTGTGTTAAAGTACCAGAAATGTGAGTGAACGACTTAGCTGAACCCATAAACACAGCTTGGACTCTAAGCACATTTTTCACTAGAGCTTAGGTAACTGCTGTTTCTTTGGAGTGGAAACATGCATTTCTCCCCTTCTGCTGGGCACGGTGCTTCTCCTATCTCAGGCTTCATCATGTGGGTGGATCTGGCCTGACCTCAGATCTTGCAAATGCATTTTCCTGAGGAAAATCAGGATGGTGATTAGTGACCTAGTAACTTCTGTAACTCCTTTAAAACACTTCAAAGACATTTGTGTCCTAAAATTAGAAACAGAAATCAGTTAGACTTTCAGAGTCTTCATTCCTTGATTGTTGGCTGTAGACGTGAAGTCAGGTGGAGTGTGGAGTACCATTTTGGTTCTTATTTTTGTCTTGTCTGCTAAAAACAAGGTGTGGCTAGCAATAACCTGGGAGACAATCAAGAATTACACACATAAGTTTGAAATATATTGATTACATTCTCACTTACTGATCATTCAGGTTATTGTCTTTTGGAAAGGATTACAAAAATGCTAAAACATTTCTGGTGACTTTAAGAATCCTCACATTCTTTTTTTGCTCAAGTTCTGTGCAGAACTTGATACAGTACATTATGGTATGTGATATGGTACAGTACACTAGGTCCTTATGATGCTTGACAAAAGCAGGTATTTATGGTAAGATTAAGTCTTTTAAACTGTTGTTACATTGGGGGGGGGGGAGGTGTGTTTCTTCAAATGGACTTTCTTCCCGTTCCTTCAAACTTACTTTTCAAAAACTTTTAAACTTGGAAAATAGGATGGCACCCAAAGCTTCTGAAATTCGGATAAAGAAAGAGGGAAATCCCTGAAATTGTAGCCAACAATTAGACCTCACGGTTTGTCTGGTGCTTGGAAGACCTAGTGTCAAAATGGGAGTTAGGAGCCAGCATCAGCCTCCATGTTGTGTTTTTAAGCCTGAAAGCGATGGATTGACTAAAAACTAATTAACTCAAAAAATTTAATTCAAATCTTTGGTTTGCTTAGTATATACAACCACAATTCTGTACAGACTGCTAAGTTTCTTGGTCAGGTTGTTCAGCTGGACTAGGAGAGACTTCTGTGTTGATGCAGGTCTGGGAGACTTGGATCAAAATCCCCTGTCTCTCAGCTGAGTATCCAGACCAGCAGCCTCTTTGACATTTTGTGTCTTACTGACTTTCCATGCTTTTCTATTTTTTGCATAGAAAAAAAAATAAAGTTGGTTCTGACATATCAATACTATGTTTAGCCTGAGAAGTTAATAAGCTCTGACCATGTAGCATTAACGTTACCATGTGATATCATGTATTGCTATATGAACTCTTTCCAACAGTATTTCCAAACTATTTTTTGAAAGTGGTAATATTTTGTCTACGCTATTACATCTCTCTAAAATCTCAGCAGTTGTCAAATAAAGATGGCTAAATTTCCACTCAAGGTATAAAAATCCTATCAAGTGTTTTGTGTGTCTGTATATAGATACACTTACATACACATGTACACATATATGTGTGTGTCTAGATTTCGGTAAGAAATTAAATCATTAAGTTTTCTTGTTTGTTGAAGTTCACTGGAAGTTAGATTGTAGTTCAGTTGCTTCCTTCAGGAAAAAATCCCCAAATCCTTACTTTCCTTTTATTATTAGGAAAAAAATTAAAATGCAAGCCCAGGCTTGTGTCCCTTGCAGATGTTTGTGCAACCTTTTTTCCTGCAGCTGTTTCTTGAGTATGCTTTTAGAAGCAGAGAGGTGTGGTTATTACAGTCTAGCTCATGAAAGGAGGTCCAGGAGGTCCTGAAGTGAGCTAGGTGACCTGGTGGAGTAGAGATTCATTCCCGAATTCCTAGTAGAAGAAGCAGCATTATTCTGTATACCTTCACTGGAGGCACGGGGAATAAATGTAGCGTATTTCTCTATTTTAATGGAGAATTTCAACTATAGTGGAAAAGTATGAGTGTTTTGTTGCTGAATGAAGGCAAGGAGTTCATCTTTCCTACCCAACAGTCTTTTATGTGTCTTTGGAAGTGCAGAAGGTTAGAGTATTACCTAGTGTAAAAAGATGAGTACACTTTGATGGAAGAGTATTATGGATGCAGTGTTAAAAGAATTTCCTCAAAGGGTGGACTTCATCTGGAGAAAATTCTTCTTTCCATTTTTGGCATCATGCTGTATTAATGAGCCTAGAATAAGTATCTTTCAGTAGTTCTACCTCTGTACTTGAAAGTACTTAAGTCTTTCTGTACATATATTATAAGTTTGTTACTCTTATTTTTTGTTACAGGAGCTAGAGTTAATGCCAAAGACAGCAAATGGTTGACTCCTTTACACAGAGCTGTGGCATCTTGTAGTGAGGTATGCTTTTTTTTTTTGACTGCTTTGTGTTGAAAAAGACATTGCAAATTACCTTCTGTTCTTTGTTTGGTTTTTACAAATTGAAACTACTCCAAACCTTTGGAATTGCAGAACATTTTTGAAACAGTTTAACTTGTTGAGGGTACGTGTGTGTATATATATCACATGCCTGAGTAGGAGGAAGGGGGGGAAACTATAAAATTCCAGTTCTCAGCTTTGCTCTCTGCCATTTCCCTAGCAGAGGATTCTGCATGTAGTGTTGTCAAGTCCAGTTTGCTTCTCTCAAGGTATCCAGAATGGTTCAGCATGAGGGAAGTAAAGGTGAACTAAGATTTAGTACAGATTTTACAGCATAATTTTTGCATTTCTTCATGTTTTTTTACATGCTTGTCTGAGGCATTGAAGAAATAAAGGCCTGCAAACATCTTTTTTTAAAAAAGCAATTAATGAGTAATGATAGTATTGAAAATCACTTTAAAAGTTATAAATTAAACATGTAGAAAGTCTACCAGTTACACCGTTGTGAGAATATAGTAATGTAAGAAGTGAATTTGTTACTGTTCCTCTCTTGTTTATGTCCTAATAAAAATTTTAAATGTCTGTAGAAGATCAAAACAAACAGACAAATGCTGACCTTGTTATATGAAAGAGCTTATGCAAAACCATCTCCTTTGAGATCCTGAGTCAAATCAATGCTCATTTCAGTATGTCTCAAAAAATGACATTTTTTTAAAGATTCTCTCTAAATTTTTGGTTGAGAAGATGGAATTGAATATTTTGGTTTTGACAAGCATTGAACTTAAAGTATTTGGTCCACGAACTGTCTAAACAAGCCTTGTTTCAGTTTTTGCTTTTGAATTCCCTGGATAAATTGCAGTATTTTGTCACTAGCATTAATAGCTAAGGTACGTGGAGGTTGTGTTATACAAAACAGTGGTTGAAAAGGAATCTTCAAGGGTGCCTTATTCCCAAATGCTATTTGTTCTTCTGGAGGTATTTTTAGGCTGCTCCTTAGGGAGCTGACCAAAGCACCGAATGCTGCATTCTTCAGAGCTGAGGGACAATAAAAGCTCCTTATATCAGTAACACTTGCAGAGAGGAGTGCTGCAGGCAAACTGGACCTGGCTCCAAGAAATGCAGCCATGGTCATATTTTTTTAAACATGGAATATTTTAAACAAAATACTAACCAAAGGCAAACAACACATGAAAACCAATCAGAGTATTTACCCAAAAGGCAATGATAGGGTCATGTCAGAATTTTCTATTTATAAACCCAGTAAGTCATAGGAGCCCACATAAATCTAGGCACTGTTTTCTAGCTGACAGACGTACATGGGGTTTGGGCATTAGATGAAAAAAGCTGTAATGCAAAAATTCTTGATAATCATTTCAGTAAAACACCTGGACTTACTCTTGAAGCAAGGACAGCTGCAATTAAACAAGGACATTGTAACATGCAAAATAGCTGGAATTATGGTTTTAGCTGTCAACTGCTCAAGTTCAGAGAACTTTGTGTCAGGAGGGTCATGGTCCAGGCCTTTATATTTATGTGCCTGGTGTACTTCGCACAAAACAAAACAGAAACAACAACAAAAAAAACCCCAACCAAACAACAAAACAAACAAAAAAACCCCCCAAAAAACCCCAGAGTCACTAATTCTTGAAATTCATTAATGCATATGCACATAAAAATACAAGCTATATTATTTTTACACTAGTGCTATGGTGCTTCCTTCTACAAAAGGGGTAGTAGCTGTTCTAAGATTTCCTTGTTCTGTTTTTTCATAATATTTGGTTAAAAAAAGACAAAAGTTGAAAATATTGATTAGATTTTTAAAGTACGAAATCTGCTTAAGATTCTTGGAAAATAGAAGAGCTATTCCATTTCTCATTTAAATTACAAGCCTGTGATGCAGTATTTTCACTTTTATGTTTGTTCCTGTTTTCTTTTTTATTGACAGTAGAATAATTTGAAGATTTTAAATATAATATATTGTTATAAGTAGAATCAAGTTCTACTTAGCGTTGTAGTCATAGCTGAGATTAATACCTAGTTACTGTATGATAGTGTAATTTGAAATTTCCAGCAACTACTTGTGACATGTTTTAAGTTCAGACAGCCAACTGTTTATTTGTGTGCTCAGTGTTGGGGTTGTAAGTCACTGAAAGCAATTAGTGAATTGTGGGAAAGTCACGGCGTTGATGTAAAATGCAGTATTCATCATCATGTTGATAACACCAACGGATTTTTTTTTTCATGCATTCCAATTGTGTGCACATACTTTAACGGGATTTGTTTATCTTGCTGTAAGAATTACAGTATTAGTTGTCAAATTTTCACAGCCTGTACATTTAACAAAAGGAAATGAATAATCTTTTTTCTGAGATGGAATTCAGTGCAATATTTTGAAATGGTTTTCAGGAGTTTTGCAACAGTATGTGTTGAAACTTGTGTTTGTGTTTGAAATTGTGACCGTGCTCTGTTTTATCTGTGGTTCTCTAAATGTACATGTAATAAGCTGTTCTTCTCTTCGCCATTTCTAGTCTTTGGCAGTTCAAAAATTTTGCCTGTCAAATTGATGAAAATGCATTATAAGTTCATAGTACTTTACTAATCCTTAGCAATAGAAGAAATCTTAAGGAGGTTTATTAAGTTTTGGAAATCAGTTGTGATGACAAAACAATTTGCCAGCTGGCTTAAGGAACTGGATAAAAGACCTGGAAACAGTTGATTCAGTTGAATCCTCTAGAGTGTATATTGCTCATGTTCTTGAGAACATCCCCAAATCTGGATTTATGATCAAGTACAAATCCCAAAGCATACAATGATGTTTACGAAAGAACAAATGGCAAGCAGTTCTGTTCTACTATAGTGTCCTTGGATTTAAGGCTGACATTTCAAATCTTTATTAAGTGGCTTGTTTTTTTTTTGTAAATGCTTTCAGGATGCTGTTCAGGTGTTGTTAAAGCATTCAGCAGATGTCAATGCTCGTGATAAAAACTGGCAGACACCCCTACATATAGCAGCTGCAAACAAAGCTGTGAAATGTGCTGAAGCTTTGGTGCCTCTCCTAAGCAATGTAAATGTGTCTGATCGAGCAGGCAGAACTGCATTGCACCATGCAGCCTTCAGTGGACATGTTGAGGTAAGAGTTATTTTTCTTAGCTTGGACTTGTGGAGGAGAACGACAAGGGGACTGGCCATTCTGTCCCTTTAATTTCCAGTGTTCAGTTTCTGAGTTTAAAATCATGTTTCCCCCATACGCTCAAAAAATCCCACCCCTTATTTTGTATTTGAATTTGTCTTTTGTATGCATCTGTGTACAGAATGGTTGTGGAAAATACATGTTACATCATTTAGTTGGAAGGTTATTACCTTGTTCACCTTAAGACAGAAGCAAATTTGCCTGAGTTAACTGGAGTTAAAGTAGTAATAGATAAATTTTAAATGGAGAAAAAGATTATACTTTTCTGTCAGTAGAGAGTGAACATATTCCATATGTTGTGACTGAAATGTGGAGGAAATATATGTAATAAATTCTGACTCGCTAGTTTTCAAACCCTGAAAAATGACTGCTGAGAAATTCCCATTGTAATCATGTATAGGTAATTGGAGACAAATCTGCAATAAGCTTGCTTTTAGTGATTACCTTTACTGAATCCCTTAGTAATGGCCTGAAGGTTTCAAAGATTCCACTGCTTTACCGTATTTAACTAGGAGATGTTTCTGTGGGCACAGTTTTGTGTTCCTTACAGTCACTTCATTATTGCTGCCAAGGTGAGCAGCCTGTTTTTTCAACTTTATGGAATATTCAAAAACCAACACATTTAAATTCCTTGAAAATGCATATATTTTTGGTTTCTCCTATGATTTTCTTTGTTTTACTTTAAGCAGAGTTTTTCTTTGTGAATAGAGGGTTTCTTTTTTTTCTGTTTGTCTCAGATGGTCAGCTTACTGCTCTCTAGAGGGGCCAATATTAATGCATTTGACAAGAAAGACAGGCGAGCTATACATTGGGCAGCATATATGGGTATGTACATATTTCAGTTGATTACTGTTGTGGTAGTAAAAAACCAAATCACCTTATGTTTAGTGGTTTTATATATTTCTAGGAAATATATTTACAGTATAAGCATTGAGGTTATCTGTGTGTCTGCCAGAAAATCATTAGCAGTATAGTTCAGATTGCTTTGTAAAAGTGTTTTTGCGGTGAAAAAATCAATTCGTTGGAAAATGAAAAGTAAGGTAAGTAATTTTGTTCTTTAAAAAAAAAAAAGGAACTATGCTTCTCAATCAGGAGACTAATCACAGGTGAAAACTTTTGCAATAATGCTAAATAGAAGGTAAGCAATTAATACAAGGGGCACCTGAAACAGAGGATTGTTACACCAACCTTAGGGATTGTATTTTAAAAGAAGAAAATTTTATTTCTAAACCTCCAAATTCTTGCCTTGCCATTCTTATTCCAGGAGTGGATAATTACTGTTCTCATGGTATTGATCAATACACTGGCAGTACTGTCAAGAGTCATGTATTTCATTACCTTTTATCACACTTTCATTTCATTAAGTGGTAGGCATTGTGTTCTTCAGCATATCTATAATAAATAGTAGAGCTTTGTATCTCAATCTTCATTTAAAATATGAGCAATATAAACCATTGGAAGGTGAATCATAGAAAAGGCAGACTTAAGAGTTCTAGGCTGACGCTGACAAAGACTTCTTAGCTTTGGCTAATTGCTGTGTTTCTGAGTAATTCACATGCAACTGCTGATTGTATTTATCATTGCAGAATAAGTTGTACCTGCTCAGAAGCCAAAAACCATAATTCCTCTTTTAATTTCCAGAAAATGCCTAAAAACACCCTTGAACACATGCAGCATATTTTGTATATGATCAGTGAACAATTAAGTTTCAGTATCAGTTTCAGGAAGAAGCCAGCTGAGATGATTCCATGGTCTTGATTGTTATTAAGTATTTTAGCTTATTGCTTCATCACTTTATCCAGCCAAGGGAGAAGAATAAAGCAATAGTATCAGTATTGTATGAAGCTGCATGCCTGGGAATTTCTTCAAAGATGAAATGGGGAAATAAGACTTCATCATATGTAATTTTTTTTGTTTCTGTTATGTTTTGACGATCTGCATTTTCCTAAATTTTAAATACTTTAGAAAACACATATCTATATGGCTAAGAGACCATCTTACAAAACTTAAGGAGAAGAACAATCAGGAAGAGAACATGGTCCTATTCTTTATGGCAGCTTTTTTTTCTTTTCAGAGGTGTTCTAAAGATGTGCACATTTTTATTCCAGTTGTAAGAGGAAAATACTACTTGGAGTGACCGTCTTGGCAAAAACATCACAGCGTTAATACTCTATAATTTGAAACTGTATGATACTGCACTTCAAGTACTGATACCAGTACTTGAAACCAAAAAGTTAAAGAACAATCTTCATTATTGATCTAACGTTCTTGTGATGTTTTGTATTAGTATTTTGTAACTTACTTACATATGCAATAGAATGTCTGCTACAGGCTGTCCAACCACCTTACTCAAGGTGATTATTTGCAAAATTTTGTTGAATGAAACTTGTGCATGAGATCGCAGAGACAGAGGTGTTTTCTGGCTTGTGGTCACCTAGATGAGAGAAGAGTCTTCTATTTTTTAGATAAGCTACATTTGTTACAATTTTAGTCAGTGCTATTTCATAGACTATTAACGGGAAGCTCTGTTAATGAACAGTGTTTGGGTGGGAAAAATGTAATTTATCTGATGTCGATCAAGCTAAATATCCTTGCAGACAATAGAGTAGAAAAAAATTCTAAAAGTCTTCAAATAAGGGGAAAAAAACTCTCACAATTTAGAGCCATTTTACATTGCTCCAATTGTTTGAAGAAAGCCTTAAAGCTTTTCTACCATATAAAACTGGCCATAGAAAAAAAAGAAGTTACGCTTTTCGTCAGTCTACTATAAATAACTTTCTAGGGTTATGTCCATTGTTTCCCTTCCTTCCTGCTTTTCACCCGGCTCCATTGCTGTCCAGCTGTAAGGCTGAGACTAAAATGGGCTTGCATTCGTGTGTGTTATCATCGCCCTCATTAATGTATCGGGATGTCTCCTGAGCGCTTCCCACGTCAAGTACCTTGCTCTTCTGTTTGAGTGTCCTCCACTGATTGCTGCTTGCGTTTTCAATGCAGGTCGGGGATTTTTTTGAGTTTTTTTTCTTCTCTTTAAAAGTTTTTCTGCCACTGTTCTGTTCAGTGTCTGGCTTCCTTTCACTACTTTCAATATCTTCTGTGTTTCTGTCTCTCATATAGGGCTTGTTTTCATTCTTGTCCTCATTTTATTTGGGTCAGAAAATGAGTATTATGTTTACATTTCTCCTTGTCTTCTTTCCTACAATACTGAAATAATTCAGAAGTTTACTTTCATTGCAAAACATATATTTCATTGCAAAATTCATTGCAGCACTTCACATTGCACTGGTCAACTCTGTATGTTTCTGGTCGGTATAGCTAGGTGAAGGGTCCTTTTGTATGCTGTTGGACACGCAGCATAGAATAGGTATCATGGTTTATCATCATGAATGTTTATTGAAGCAGCTTTGTATTCCTTTGGGTAGACAGGAATTCAAACTTTGCGTTTTCAATGACTAAGAGAATTTGCAAAAGACCCTCACTTTTTATGAAGCACTTAAACTGAAAGCTGGATTTGATACTTTTTACTTATATGTCTGACTGGATAAGCATAAGTATTTGCTGTGCCACTCACCACTTTTTTTAACTAAGGTATGGGTGTCACTTGAAAGGTAAAATGAAGAATCCCACATCTGTCTGTTCGGGTCAGTTAGAAAGGTAAAGCACTAAATCTGTTGTGGCCTATTTAACTGAAGTGTGCTCCTTTCTTCTGACACTTTGTGATGCTCATCTGTGTGTTTTCAGTGATTGACTTGTTTGGTAGTTAGCAGCTGAGCAAGAATGACAGATTTTTTTGTTACCTCATTTTCATAGCTTTTCTCTTAGCGTGCAGTGTCACAACTGCCTGCAAGCTAGTGGGGCAACATGTGGGCACAGTGCAGGGGAAAGCTGGTTGCCCTTCGCAGCAGCAGTGCGGCGTTGGGGTGCCTGGCCCAGCCACAAAGCTGGCGGTGAGAGCGACTGCCTGCTACTTCAGGGTGGGCTCCCTGCCCTCCCTTCCCTTTTCTACCCTCTTAGCTGGAACTTCCCCCAGGTCATCCCTTCCCCACGATCCTCCTCAACTCATACTCTCTTCTCCATACTCTCTTCCCGGTGACTTAGGAGAATACTTGATGCTTCCTTTGAGGGAACTTGAGTCAGTTTTGAAACTAGAACTTTGCTAAATCCTGTATGAATTGGGACAACATTGTGAAGGCTTTGCAAGTAAAGGATTGGGGGGGAGTACATTTTTCTGTAAAAATAGAACATTTTTATTCTTTTCATGTTTGTGTAATTTTTTCAAAGTTTATACTGAAGGCCTTAACGGGTGTGTTTGCAGTTGAGGTGACGGTGGAAGGCTGGCAGTCACATTCTCTTTCAAGTTGTTAACAGAAACTTGCAGTAAATGTTTAATAATTACAAGCTTATTTCACCTCCCTAGTTCTCAAATCTTCCCCCAAAATCCTTCTGTATAAGCAGAAGACAAGAATTATCTTTTTTTTTTTTTTTTTTAAGATACAAGATTATTTTGGCAGTATAAATACTGTGATTATGGAGTATGTGGAAATACTCTCTTCTGGAGATCAATATTTTATGTTGCTTTTATAGTTCACGATACAATTAGAATACAAGAACAATTCTTTGTTTTCCAGATTAGGTCCAAATGAATAAAGCCTTATTCATGTTATAACACTTGTACAGTTATTAAGTTTGTAAACTTGTGCTTGTCTTTACTCTTTTAGGTCATATTGAAGTTGTGAAATTACTTGTGGCCCACGGTGCTGAAGTGACATGCAAAGACAAGAAATCATATACACCCTTACATGCTGCAGCATCTAGTGGGATGATCAGTGTAGTCAAATACCTTCTAGATCTTGGAGTTGATGTAAGGAAGCATAAAACAAAATGATCCATATCTTTTTGTTGTTTGAATTGCACTTGTTAGTATTGTAGCACACTATTTAGGGACAGGTTATGATGTAGTGACAGTAGTATTTCACTAGATCTTCATTCACTTGCTTTTTTTTGTTTAAAACCTCATTTCCCCCAAGTAACTTAAGAGCCTTGCACATTTTGCACAATTAACTGGAAGTAAATTTGTTTTTAGTAGGGGTTTTTGTTCATTTGGTATTTCTTACTCTTAGTTCATTGGACTAGAACTCAGGAAATAGGAATTCCGTTCCTAGCTTTGCCGAACAATCCTTTTTGAACTGCAGGAAACTAAACACTTTTGCTTTAGTTATTTGTAAAATGTAGATGTTACGAACTTTCTTACACCACATAAATTTTGGAAAATACTAAAAAATGAAAGAAACTTAAATACTACAGTAAGGAGGGTCATATTAATATTGAAATGAAAAGTAAATTAAAAGGTTCTACAGTACCTGCATATAGAAAGTGTGTTAAGAACAAAGTGTCAAACTGTGTAAGAAATCTACATTGTGCATCACATTTTAGTCTTACAAGGCTGGATAATGATGCCAAAGCTCTAGCTTGAGAAGTAGATCAGAATTGAGTATCATGTTGTGCACAACAACAAATTCTACATCTGTACACGCCCTCCCCACCCACCCCCCCAAAAAAGGGAAATACATACTTTAGAGTCTTGTTTCGTTTAGAGATCGTTTTCTAACTTTGATGCCTAAACAGCAGCACCTCTTGTAATTCATTAGCGAAGTGTGTGATTGCATTTTAGAAGTAGTTCATACCTAAAATTCCTGTTACGCTCGGAAGCTACAGGGCCTCAGTAACATTGAAGAGCCCTCCTGTGTGTGTATACACGTGCTACATCTAAGGTTTCTGAATTTAAATGCCTAAAATTTCTTTGAGGAGACTCAGTCCCTTTAACCTCCATTTTTAATGGAAACCTGCAAATGCTGTTGAAAAATGATAGAGGTCCGTGCTGTGCTTGGTCTGTAGTGTCTGTGCGAATTGCCACTGTTGGCATTTTTTCTGTATGTGTGTTCTGTCAAGTTGCATACAGGAAACTGGTGTGCAGACAATTGGAGGAGGTTGGCTTACTTGTAAAGCAATTGTACTCTTTGTCGGTACACACTTCTTAATCAAAGTACTACATCCAGAACTCGCCTTTAGTTTCTGGTTTTGAAGAGTTCCAAAACGTAATGAAAAAGTTGTCTCGTGACATGAGATTTTTCTTTGTCATAATTAACTGCTGCGGTAATACAGGTTTTTGCCTACTAACTAATCTGTTTTGTTTGGGTTTTTTCTCTGATAGATGAACGAACCAAATGCCTATGGAAATACTCCTCTCCATGTAGCTTGCTACAACGGGCAAGATGTTGTAGTGAATGAACTCATAGACTGCGGTGCTAATGTAAATCAAATGAATGAGAAGGGTTTTACGCCTTTGCACTTTGCTGCTGCCTCAACACATGGAGCATTATGTTTAGAGCTTTTGGTCTGTAATGGAGCAGATGTAAATATGAAGGTAAGTGAACCCAAAGCCATCCGTTCACTTTTAAAGATGCTGTACATCTTTATCAGAGGTAATTTTTCAAAATCATGACAATAATGTTTAGAAGTTTCCACTGATTGATGGAGTACTTCTGTGAAAAGTATTATAGGAAAAATGAGCCAGTGTGTTGCTTCAAGGAACTTGATCTCAGTCTGAAAACTTCAATGCGATGTAGTAAATAGCTCAAAAGGATAAAGAAGAAAGATGACAGTACTGTCTGGTCAATGTTGATTTTAGATGTCAGAATTCCACATAATTTGTCTTCCCTAATCTATCCATATGAGTAAGAGCAAATCATATGGAAAAATGCAAAAGAATATGTTTTTCTTATTAATAAGCAGCATTAACAAAATCAAGGATATTTCAGAGAAATGTGTATTTCAGAGAAAAGCTAATTGCTGGAGTAGTTGAAGAGCTGCTAATGTAAGATCCTAAAATCTAATTAATAAGGGAGAGTTGTGAAGGGTATACTAAAAAATACAAAGGTAAGTAGATTAGGCCAATGGAAAGTCTTAAACAGCTGATTTTTTAATTACTCCAGCAAAATTTTACAAGCAGAGTCATTGTATGTTTTACATCACTACTTGGTCACAAGTCTTTGGCTGAAGAATATTCCTTAGAATCCAGTCTTAGCATAGATAGATTTTCTAATGCACACAAGCATAAAAGCAAATTATAACCTATATCTTTTATTATCTTCTCGAGTCTGTAAAGTAAGATCTTGAGCTATGAGAGATGTGAGATCTCCTGTTTTGTATTAAGTTGATTTTTACTCTAGTAATGAAAACTTAACTGTGTTCAGAAGTACTCAGTTGCAGTATCCAATGTCTTCACAGGTTTCAGGCTGGGGGAAGTGGGAAACAGCTATGTGAAATGAAAAGTCCAAGTGTTCCTCTTACAAAATATCTAATTTCCTATACCGTTGCCCACATGTGGTAGAAAGAGAATTATCTATCCTTTGCTGCTTAAAAAAAAAAAATAAAAATCTGTTTAATTGAGTTATGTCTGAATTTCAGCACAATCTGGATAAGAGGTGAATATTAGAAGAACTAACATTCCTATTAAAAATCATGGGGTTTGTCACTCACTGCATGTAAGATATTCACACTGATTTTCAGCTAACTAGTTCGAAAATACAATTTTAAACCTATTGTTAATACAAAATCCATAGCCCACTGAAAATTTGGAAGTAATTTAAAAATAAGCTATTTGATGCAGAAAAGTCTTAGATGTATGTTATTGCTCACTTTTACATATATTTAAGCATGCAGCTCATTTAATGAAAACATACCTAAACTCATCACCAAAATGCCCTGGAGAAGTAAGGAGCTGTGCTAAAGGGTTTATTGCCAACTTGTCCTAAAATACACAGGTCACAGTCCATTTATTTTTGTTGCCAGCTTTCTGCTCTGTGTAATGTCCCAGACTGGATATGACTGAGGCTTTAGCCTTAACAGGGCTGACTTCTGTCCTACATTCTTGAAGCATCATTTCTCAGTAATGTATGTTCTGTCATGAAAATAATCCCACAATGTTAAATATACTGATGATTATGTACATGTGTTACACAAATAAGAAGAAGAGAGAAACATAAATATTACCAAGCAAAGAATTACTGTTTTCCTGTATGCTGGGTTGCAAGGGTTCATGACTTTGTGCATATTTCTGATGTAGAAGAAGTGGGGTGGGCTTCATTTCAGAAAGATATGCAGCAAGTAATGGTGGTTGAGGTTTTTTGGCTATTTGTTTTTGAATGCACCTTAATTGTAGGTCAGGAATGAAAATGAAAAAATTCCAGCATTCTATTAGGCTAATTAAACACTGTTAAAGATTACTATAATCTTTATGTTTGTGCTTAAAATAAGAATGTTTGTTTTACGTATGATATACACTGTAGATACTAACTACATTTCGTCAGTTGAAACACAAAGTAACCTTAGAAACTGTTCTAATATCTTCAAAGTGACTGGCAAAGTTCATGAATTCTTTGAAGTTTATGATGTGGGTGAACTTTTGTTTGGAGGTGACAAAAGATGTTTTAACATCAGAGATATGTATTGTTGCCTTCCTTCCCATTCAATTTTAGCTGAAACCAGGACAGGGGTCCAAAGTACAGATTTGTTGGTTTCTGTAACTTTAAAAAAAAAAAAAAAAAAATCCTTTGAAAATTTAGTATGGGTAAACCCAGGTTTTCTCTTAAGCTTACTCTGAGATGACAGAATCATTTTTTTCTGAAACATGGTAGTGATGGGACTGGGAAATGCAGCCTGAAGCATATCAGAGCGCTGAAAATTTCAGCTGAAGTCGAAGAGCTTAGTAAAGATTTGGCTACTGAAGTTAGCCTGCTTCAGAAGAAAATGTCTTTACAGTGGAAAGGGTTAGTAGCTTTAGCTTTAGGTTGGCTGCGATTAAAAACTGTTGATTTAGTAAGTATCAAAACTGTGAAGTGCAAAATTAATGGTAGGGTTGTGTAGGGATTTTAACCAGTTAGAGCCTGGAAACATCACTTATCCCATTTCCACACCAACATGTGTCTTGGTTGTAATTCTGTTAATAGCATTTCTGTGGATTTATACCAGTATGACCGAATTTGGCCTGTGAATTTCTGCCTGAAGGTGTCAACAGCCTTACTTTGTATATGAAAACTTAATCACTTGCACTGTTGAAAAGTACAAGAACGGGGGCAATAGAAAATAATTTCCAAGTCAACTTCTGCATCCTTGGAAAGGCCTATAAGGATAAATCTTGGATTTAATCAAAAGAACAATCCCTAAAAAATAGGAGATGGAAATTGAATTAGAATATGTAGCTAAGAAAAATTTGTGGAGTTAAAATGGGATGCTTTTAGAGCATTCTTACTAAGTATTTATTGAAACCAAGCCTCTTCAGTTTCCAAATAGTTCAATAGTTTGGCTGAAGTTCAAAGCAGTTTTTACAATTGTTATAAGATTTATTTTTCATCATAATTATATTGCTTGTATAATCTGATTCAGTAGTTCCCTCCCATGTGCAACTGTTTTTGTGGTTTTAGAGGTAACAGAGTGGATATGGACAGTAATCTAGGTGCAGACTAGACAGTACTGTTAGAGCACTTTCTGCTGTGGATGACCTAGTGAGAGAGAGCAAAAGAGAAACGCTCTTATTCTTGATGGCAGATGGAGGGTAAGTGCTTGGGCGTATCTGTGGATGCTGGCCTCATGTCAAGAAGGGAATATGTAGCAGAAGATAATGGAACAGTAGAAGTTTGTTATATGCTTTTTATCACCTCTGTAGGCAGAGGACATAATTTCATACTAGTTTTTGTAGCCTTGTCAGTGTCCATATAGTACTGTAGAACAGTGAATCCTGTTAAATATTGCTCATTACAGCAGCACTGTCTCCTCACTATTCAGGATTTCCATGCATGGGAGAACACGTTGAAATGAGTACATAATGGGACAGTATTAATTGTTTTATGGGCCCCCTTGCTGCTTGGAAAATTTAATGACCTAAATACAAAAAGTATTTTACTTCCACTGGTGATACTAGAACGTAAGAATTGCTGCTAGGGGGAGATTTCATTTGGAGGAATGCTGTGATATGATAGACCCACATTTCCCCTGACCCAAGGTGAAGCTCAGTAGCCTGAGTGCAGTTAAATCTCAGTAATCACTTGATAGAACACCTTGTGCTGTGTGTTAATTCTTTCTGTCTAATAGCAGTTACTGTTCTTAGCAAATTTCATATGATCTTATGTATTTTGTGGATATGTTTTCTGTAGTGATAGAGGAAATTTGGGTGATTTCTTTCCTTTTACCGTACTTAATTGAGTTTCAGTGAAGATGACAAAAGTTATCATTAGCCCATAGCTATTCTGTCACGTGCTCTGATCCTGTCTGATCTTGCAAAATCAGACAACTGTAGTTAATATTTAGATAGAAGACCTTAACGGCATAAAAAAAGGAAATTGAAGCAAAAGTTTAGAAGACACGTCCTTATGCAGTCCAACCTCCTGGCATCTCAGGAAACAGTACTTTGCTCAATAAATAGAGCATTGCTGTTTCATTGCTTAAAGAACTCTTTGGCTACTGGTTCTGATTCGGTATACCCTTCTCTAGTGGCGATGTCTAAGAAGGAAATCCTGAATGCAATCCTACACCTACCAGTTTAACTTCAACATGGAAATCATTACCCATATTTAATTTTATACCTGTTCTATGTTTGTATGTTGATAGACAATTGTGCGTTATGTTATTGCAAAGGAGCCTGGGACTGTTAGGCTAGAGAGAGACACTGTCGATAATCAAATCCATTGTCTTAGAAATCTACATTAAGTACATTTTTAAGTAAATTTGAGCAGAGTAAATCCAAATATCCATTATTGATTGTACTGTAGTTTTTCATTTAGAACTGGAAAATTATTTTGCAGCTTATTTTGCTGTCCTTTGCAAGATCTTACTCAAATTGTCTTGTGAGGGTTCTCACTTGACCACCAGGCTCCTTAATTTCTGATACTGTCACCTTAGGTTATTCTTATGTCCTTGTAAGGTACTTTCTTAATGTGCTCAGTGAGACTTGGATCTACTTTTTTCTGCTCCATCTTCTTACTCTTCATTAGCCTTCCCTTGAGATACAAATTTAACATATCTAAGCCAATGAGGTTGCAAGCTTCTTTATCCAAGCCCTTAAATTTTTCTGTGTATTACTTCACTACTTTATTTCCTTTCTCAAAGTTTTCCCTTCTAAAGTTTAAAACATTAGTTACCAAAGCAGCTTTTGGTCACTCACTCCAACTAAGCTTATTTTATGTGATCATTTTTCTTTAAATTAATTGATTCTTTAGCTTAAAGAAGGAAAAGAAGTGAGGGAACGAGACACCAGAAG